GCGCCCCGCGGAATCTGAGGAACTTACCTGCGTGCTGGTGGGCTCCTGGGCCGGCAGCCCTTCAGTGCCGGAGGCTCAGCTGGGAGGCAGCACATTGAGACCGGAGACCCAGGGGGAAAAGTAGAGCACCTGGGAAGGTGGCGGGGTCGGAGTGCTTTTTTACGGTCTGGGCAGTTGGGCGGCGCCTTACCCTGACTCTTAGGGAGGGCCGGAGTTCCGAAGTAAGGCTTAAAATGGGCAGTGAGTCCGGCAGACAGGTGCAGAGGTGACTAGTTTCTTTATAGTCAGTTGCTCCGTCAGGTGTTTTAAATTTTTCCACGAGGTTCTTGTTTTCTTCGGGAGGAAGGAGACGTGTGACCTGGAATCAGGCTGGCCAGCGAAAGAGGGCTTCTAGGGTACGGGAATTCGTTAGGGGCTTTCACGGTCAGGGGCAGGGTGTCCCATAACTCAAAATGAAATCCTCACGGTTTATTTTAGCCATTATAACGATCTCTTCTCGGATTCTTTCTCCCAAAGTATGGCATGGTGTTACGAGATCAATACAAAATCTCCCCCAGCTGTTGTCTGTCAGTCAAGCTCACTAAGCCAGCATCTCGGATGTTTGAGAGTCTTGGCTATTTATATGAAAGGCCTTCTAATACAAGAATATTGTGCGTGCACAGAATGATGTTTCAAACGTTTTTATTTCGGCTTTTATTCTTTGGGTTTATTTAGTGCTCAGTAGTTCCTGTTTCTAGCTTTTTCTTTTTGTTTTCTTAGTTTGCTGATCGGCTCTGTGGATTTGGTTTAAGTGTCTTGCGGTAATAGTATAGTGGGAAATCACAGTTTTCAGAGTATACAGGCTTCCGGTAAGCTTTTTGCAATTTTAAATTTCCTACCTGTTGGAAGAGTCTTTAGTGTGGCTTACTAATGTGTAACTAGTTACTTTAGCATTCTTTATTTATTTTTTTATTTTTGGTCTTTTTGAGGTAGGGTCTCACTATGCAGTTCAGGCTGGCCTTCAGCTCACTTTGTAGCTCAGGCTGGTCTCCAACTCACGATGATCCTCCTGCTTCAGCCTCCCGGGTGCTGGGATTACAGGCCTGCGCCACCACTCCCGGCTGTACTTTAGCATTCTTTAAAACTTAGGTGTCATACAAATGATCTTTGTGAAATTTTGATAGAGACTAGTTCTCCTGAAACCTAGTGGTTTCCTTCCCTGAAAGACTAGGTGATATGGTTAACTGCGGTACAAGAGTGGATTTATCTCTCATACTTATCTTGTGTAGGATACATAGGTAAAGTTCATTATTTTGCATCTTAAACCCCTGAAAGGTTTCAGTTTTTTGGCTCTGTAGTTTTTGTATAACAGAAATATGCATTTTTTCTGTGCATATTGAAAAACTGAGAATGTTTGAATTTTAATAAATTATTTTGCATCGTGTAGACGATTAGAGAATCAACCTTATGTTGATATAATGTGCTGTAATTTTCTTGAAATGAAAGTAGTTTTTATTTCTTATTTGATAATTAAACTGTTTTAGTAAAGATTTTATGTTTTTGTTTTTTTTTGAGACAGGGTCTCACTATGCATTTCAGACTGGTCTTCAACTCATTTTGTAGCCCAGGCTGTCCTCGAACACACAACTATCCTCCTGCCTCAGCCTCCCAAGTGCTGGGATTCCAGGCATGTGCCACCACACCCGGCTTGTTTTAAGTAAAGATTGTTTACAGCCTTACTTTGGTTTTGTACTTTCAGTACCCCCTCCATTCACAATAATCAAATGTCCTGATATTGGAACTCTGAATGTGTAATATTGATCTCTCTTCATACTTTACAGATCTGCTCGGTTCTACTTGGCGTTGACTCTATTACTCGTTTTACTTTACACAGTGGTTTGGCAAAGGTTGGGAAAGACACATTTATCCACATTTGTGTTTGATAAAAGTTTGTGTTTAAATGTTTAGAGTGTTGTCCTGACATCCACCTGTATATGCACTTTTTGGAAACTATAGTCTTTTTTTTTCTTTTCTTTTTAATGTCTTTTTGTGACAGTGCTTCGTTATGCAGTTCAGGCTGGCCTTGAACTCACTTTGTAGCTCAGCCTGGGCTTAAACTTGCAATGATCCTCCCGCCTCAGCCTCTGGAGTGCTGGGGTAACAGCTGTAGGCCACCATACCCAGCCAGAAACTATAGAAAAAAACCATAGCCTTCAAAACTCAAGAAGAATTAGAATGAAGAATGAGCCCTGGATTTGAAGTAAATAAATGCAATCTAGATATGTGCTTTACTGTATCATATCTTGCGGTGGACCCTTGAGCAAGTTTTTTTTTTAGTCTGTTTTCATGTATGTAAACTGAAGTTTTTTTTTTTTTTTTGTCTTTTTGAGACAGGGTCTTGCTCTGCAGCTCAGACTGGCCTTGAACTCACTTTGTAGCTCAGCTTGGTCTCGAACTTGCAATTATTCTCCTGCCTCAGCCTCCCGAGTGCTGGGATTACAGGCGTGCGCCACCACGCCCGACTGTAAACTGAAATTTGAAGTAGATCGGTAGTCCCCCAATTTTTTAGAGGTTAGTGAAACCGTCCATATGGGAAGAATAGGCTTAACAAAAAAAGCAATTTACTATTTTTAGCCACTTTGAGTTTTTAAGTTGAGGTTTATACTGTATATAGTAAGTGTAATTTTTTTGGGGGGGGGTCTTGCTATGCAGTTCAGGCTGACCTTGAGCTCACTTTGTAGCCCAGGCTGGTCTCGAACTCGCAACGATCCTCCTGCCTCAACCTCCTGAGTGCTGGGATTACAGGCGTGTGCCACCACGCCTGGCAGTAAGTGTAATATTGATGTGTAATTGAATGTGTAATACCCCCCCCCGCCCCCCAGTTTTTTTGAGTAAGCGGGGGGGTTCTTGGTTTGCTACCCAGGTTGGCCTATTTTTGATCCTCCTGCCTAAACCTCCCAGATAGCAAGGATTACAGGCATATACCACTGTGCCTGGTGTAGAATAAGGTTTTTTAATATTGTGAGCTTTGATAAATGCTGGCAGTTGTGTAACCAGCACCTCATCACCGTTATCATGATGAGAGAATGGAATACTTAACATTCCTCCTGATTTCTTTCTTTCTTTTTTGGGGGGTGGTGGTACTGGGAATAGAACTCAGGACCTCATGCTTGCCAGGCAGGTGCTGTGAGACTGAGCTAAATCCTCGGCCTCACATCCAGATTTCTTTCATGCTTCTGACAGAACTTCACACCCAACCTGCTTGGGCAGTGGTGGTGGACCTGTAGCATGTATGCCACAGTTGGCTGTTTGTACTGTATCATGGAAACAAAGGTTCACCAACACTGCTATAGGGTGTTTACTGTCCTCATATTTTGCTTTGCCCAGAATGCCATACTGTGTATAGAATCTTACCATATACTGATTGGTATTTTGGATTAGGGTTCTTCCATGTAGCATAGGAACAATGAAATTGTTTTGTAATTAGAAAGTAATATATGCTCAGTGAAGGAATTTTGGAAGTCAAGCAAAAACTGTAGGAACTGTTAACATTTTGATGTGCCATGTCTTTTTAGTGGTGTTACTCTTTTTTTTTTGGTACCGGGAATCGAACTCAGGACTTTGTGCTTTTTAGGCAGGTGCTGTGCCTGAGATATATCCCTGACCCTTGGTGGTGGTTTTCTGTATGTGAGTGCTTTTTTTTTTTTTTTTTTCTCCTCTTTATCCATCTAGCTTCACAAATCAGTACTTGACTGTAAGTGTATTACCATTGAAGGGTTTCAAAGTCAGGCATCTTCATCCCTTGAAATAATTACCTAATAATATACTTTGAGGCAGTGTTTTGTAGGCTATGTTTAAATGAACTGAAATGCAATTACACAAAATAATCAGATCCAACAAAGAGTTGAATATTTGAAGATTTTACTAAAAATTAAACTAACTTTTTTTTTTCAAAAATATTTATACAAATGAAAACATGCTAAATATACTTGTTTTCCATGTTTTTAATAAACCTGATTTGCAGTTCTTACAGATAATTTGTCTGCAGGTACAGGAAAGAATGGAAAAGTGTTAAACATTTGGTAGGCTACTGTACCTGATTTCATGCCTTTCCTACTTGGAACAGCATCTTAGGGTTTACTATTGGACAAGATTGAACTTAGGACCTTAACACTGAGCTACACTCCCAGTCCCTTTTAATATTTCTTATTTTGAGACAGGGTCTCACTGAGTTGCTCAGTTGTCGAGGCTGGGCTTAGATTTGGTGCATCTCCAGCCTCAGCTTCCCGGAGTGCTGGGAATTGCAGCTGTGTACCACCAAGTCCTGTTTCAAGTGTCTTTTTAAAAAAGCTTTATTGTGGAAGATTGTATGTTCTATGCATGATTTTAGTCAAAACCCCAAGACGAAATTAGCATATTTATTTTGTAAAACTTACCTGTACAATTGAATGATTTGTTAGTGCGTGTACAGTCTTAAGTTACTATATTCCATTACTCAAAAAGAAACCTTGTGCTGGGTG